GCAGTGGAAGGGGCTGGGGTACGGCGGCTTTGCTCCGTTTTGAGGTCAATGTACAAAGCATGCAGCCAGGCAGCATTTATTACGACTTAATGCGCTCCCTGAGGGAACTTTGGTTGTTGGGATGTGAGCGGTAGGGACGGTAGGGAAAGGCTCTAATTTCGTGTTTAAACTGCTTTTCACACAACCACTCTCACATGCGAGGGCATGGTTGGTTGTGGTTTACAAAAAGAATATATAAAAACGAAAAACATGAAAAAGAGGATTTTAAGTATCCAAACCGAAAAGAAATGCAGAGCCTTCCACAGAAATATCAATCATGCCTAAATAAGTATTTTATAGATAAGCCGTTTTATTATTTTTTATTTAACAGTGAAATAGACAACTGGTTTTTACAATATTAAGTCCTTTCTTTAAATTCGAATCTAGTCTTCTATTTTTTTCACTTCAATGGACAAATTTTGTATCTTCTTTACGCCTCATAAAAAGTTAGGAGTCGAGTTCAAGTCTCATTAAAATATGGACATTTGTATTATAATTTAAACAAATTTAATTTTGAATTGTGCAAATAATACACTATAGTAGAGTACCTGAGATCTAAAGTCTTTTGGGTCTTATTATAAACAATTATTTTTACATAGGGTGTCTTTAATAGAAATATGTATATCTACTTCCACTATTTACCTCATAATTTCTTATTCGTTTAATGGGTAACCAAATCCCTCTTAAGCATAGCATACCCTGCACTAGTAGGGTATCAGAACCTAAACAAAAACAACAACCAACTAACAATCCGGCGAACAAGTGGAAAAAGGCAACAAGGGCTGACAGCAGGAGGTGCAACAAAGACGGGCTAAAAGCAGTGGCGGCAGCGAAGAGGGGGTTCCACTACAAGCAAAAGAGGAATTGCGGCAATAAACCAACACACACGCGCCTGACTACAACAGAACACAATAAAAAATTTACAAAGAAAACACTAAACAAAATAATAATAAAAAAATGTGTACACGATAAGAAAAAATTCTTACATAAAATGTTAAACTATATGGAAATACATTTCAGTTTTATTAGGCAGATGTACGAGTATATTAGCTATCATACACGCTTGAGTTGCCGGAACTAATTTTTTTCGCTGGGAACCACATTCGGTTGTCCTATCAGAACGGGAAAACGTTTTCTGTTTCTTTATATTTTAATTATCAGCACAGGATAGAGTTTGGATCCAAAAATGAGCATTTATCCACTTGGAAAGAACATTACAGTTTTAGTCAGAAGTTTGCAAAGCACTAAATGAAAATATTTGACCAGATATATGTATATAATATAAAATATGTCCGTGTCTATTAAAACTATTTTCCGAGTTTTAATCTTTGATTTCCGTATGTATTGTTTCTGTTGCAGCTAGTATTGGTTTTGGAACAGCCAAGATAGGAAGACTATACATCTAGCTGCCATAGGACACAGGTAATGGGTAATTTAAAAAAAAATCATCAAAAATCAATTTTTAATTAAAGCAACTGCTCAATATCAAAACGAAATTACCATATTCGCCTGAATGGCATCCAGTTTGGTAAAAAACCATAAGGAATTATATAGAGAATTTAATAAATGTATTAACTAACATATTTTGTATGTAATGTTAAGTGAATATTAATTTACCGATGTCAATATTATTATAATAATATTGGTTTTAATTCGTGTTTAACGTTATTTCGCTTAATTTAAAGTTGGGACAGAGATTGTTGGTGAGAGAAATTTGGCAACGCGTATTCCTAGAGTGGAATGCATAATCATAAACGGGGCAATGGGTGTGTAACTTTGCGACTTGATTAACTCAAGGCGTTTCCTATTTCTGTCTACTAAGTGGTAGTACTTAGTAGCGTGTTTTAGCTTGCCCCTCAAAGTATATATATTTCGATAATCGATGTTCGACCGCCCGTGGACGTGAATGGGTTCACTGTCTACGATAAAGTTGGCCGACAAAAATCGAGAGTGCAGCTTTGGCCCCAAAAACTTGGCAAGCCCCCATGCATAAAAGACCAAAAGGAGCCACCAAATGGCAATGCCAAGAAATGGCAAATAGCATCAAGAAGCACGACCACTAAAGATACACGACCCACGGCAAGAAACAAGCACTAGCTATTGCAACTTATTATATTACACTTTCAACGTCATCGCGCGATGTTGCCGCTGTCAATGCAATTGCAATTGCTGTTGCTGTTGTTGCTGCTGTTGCAGTTGCTGCCGTTTCGGAGTCACTTAAACGAGATAAATCAACGTGGGCGATTACACAATATCTCAGGGTGATTGTCTCCCTCTCGCTCGCTCGCCCGCGCTCTTCTGTTTCCCTCTATCCGCTGTGCATGACTTGGCGAAAAGTGCAACAGCAACAGCAGCAGCAACATCAACAGCAACAGCCCACAATCAGCAAAAGACTCGCGCCATTGGAGCAGTGGGTCGCTCTTGGGGTCTTGTGGAAATATGTGGAAAAACGTGGAAAACCTGTAAGACAAAAGTCGACAAAATCAATAGCACACACACTGCCACACGCGGGCGACACTGCAAATAAACAAAAATGATGACAGCAATTGCAGCAGCAACAACAATTGCCGCTGCTGAAGTAGGCAGTTACTCTTGCAGTTGTTGTATTTTCAGCTTTATGAGCAATAATTAAAGTTAAATGCCTTTGCATACGAAGCTGCGGATGTTACTTGCTAGCTCTACTCATTTGTATACACTGGCGCTGGCGAAGACTGCAATTTGCTCGTTTTTCTAAAAAAGAAATACATTTTAATGACTCCCCTCAGTGGAAGTGCAGTGTTTTTTTGTGGTTCACGTTCTCTACTTTTTTTGCTAAAGTTTAAAACAAGGCAGCGAATCGGGGTCACCGAAAAGAATTGAGTTCGCAACAATCGGAGACTATCGGTGGATCCTAAGGTGATCATCTTGAGCTAAACATGCAGACAAATATTCATGTTTAATTTACCCATGGATTTATTTTCAGAGCTGTTGCCAAGATGCAAATGGCATCAAAGCTTCACAGCTCTTCAAAGATTCAGTGCAAAAACAAGGCAAATCAAAATAAAAACAAGCCAAACTGAAAATAAACAAAAACATGGAAAACCAAAAGCAACCAAAAAAATTCATGTTTTGTGACGGCGACAAAAAATACTCAAGCACACATACAAAAAAAAAAACCAAAAACAAACAAAATAAATAAATCAAAAAGAGTTCAACGACCAAAAGTTAAAATGATTTCCGACTGGCGACGAAGAGGAGCAAACGACGACATCACTCACGAGCCGACGACGAGAAAACGCGAACTTTGTGGGGGGGTGGGTGGTGTATCTTGATACGGAGGGCGGTGATGAGGCCAATTGACAAAACATTCGCGACGCGTTTAACGTACAATACAGCGATATCACATGGAAAGTATTTGATATGCGCAAGTGGCGTATGGATAGAAACAGAACCAGATTAGAAATGGGAGCCCATGGTTAACTAGCCCGCTGTATGATTTTCATGATTGAAATGCAAAGTCAAGAGTTTGCCTACGAGACATATCCAAGTTTGAAGTTTCATTTGGACCGACCGAATATGTATCTGCATCTACATCTACATCTCAATGCAGCCAGGAAGCCGCCGACATTTGCTCAGCCGCCCACGCGCCGCACATTGAAAATCAGCAGCTAGTGCGGCTCATCAGCGGCCATTTGTGGCTGATAAATGAACGCATGTTGTGCGTATCTGCCAGATACAAATGCCTGCAGTCCGTTGCGGCCTTTGCTTTTCTTTGTTTCCATTTCGCCTCTGCCGCCGCCGCCGTCGCTACTGCGCTGCGCATTTTTAATGAGCGGAAATTAGTTGGCATTGCGGCAAGATGTTTTTGTGGCTGCCCATTTAAGTAGATACAAGTGTATCTGTAAGTCATAAATTCACAATCTATGAGGCGCGTGCCTCGTGGGCTCTTCACAAGACTTGGCTTCTCACAGGTACAATTATTGAACCGATTACATGTCAGATAAATTTAGCTCAATCGGTTATTAGCGTTCTGCTGATATTTCTGCTCGTTGGATATTTGATTAATGCATTGATTACAGCTTGGATGGTTTGCAGTCTATTTCGGTTTGGTATCTTGTGGATTATGGTTTGGTTCACTTTTTGGCAGTGCAACGCGTAGATATATTTAGAGAATCCGCATTTAGCTCAGTCTTGGCAGAGCCAGCCAGCTCTCAGATACACTCTTGCATTTCCGTTTATAGCCAGCCAGTGCATACAAGAGATGCATTTGGCAACCTGCTTTGTTAGGGCCAGTACATTTAGGACTTTGATTGGGGAAAAGTGAAAATGTTATTGATTATTTTGACCCAGTTTAACGTACATTCGATAGGTATTCCAAAATGTAAAATATGCTGGACTTATACGGCTTTGATAGATGATTAAGTACTTTATTGCTCAACCAGATAAAACTTTGTTCTGTTGTTTAGAGAATAATAATCAGTGCAAGCTTCATTTGCCAAAACCAATCATGGCCAGATAACTTTTATAGTTAGTCTGACTGACTTTTTCTTTTAGTCTTTGATTGAGTGGTTTAATATTATTCTATGCTCATCAAAGGTATACATGAACAATACATGGGCTACATTATTATGAAACAACTAAAATGACTGGAGTAAATATAATGTTATACCTATTGGTTTCATATTTAGAGACCAGAGGCTAAAATGACATACTTCCATTAGGACATTGGAATGAGCAGCAAAGATTCAGTAAAATATAATATAAACGCTTAAAGAGCAGTTTTTTGTAAGGATTCCAAATATTTCGGAAATGAATAAAGAATATAAGAAATTAAAAGGAAAAGCACATATGAAAGAGCACGTTATATAGTGATGTTATTTATGTATATTTTCGAATCTGCCTTAGTCAGTGGGTTTGTGTGTCCAAGCAGTCGCTGCTGAATTGTACACCATTTCCGCATTATAGCCACAACATGCACTCACCTGTCTGATGACTCCGATGAATCGTATCGATCCAGACACCGCTTCTTGGATCCCCTCGTTCCGCGCTCTCCTCCGCCGTTTGTTCTTGGTGCTGTTGTTACGCTTGCTGTTTTGCCGGCTCCCACTCGAGTTGTTGTTGTTGTTGCAGTCTTCCTGGCGCCCTGATAGAGCTGAGATCGCAATGCGTTTATATCCAATTTGGCTGCCTGGCCGCCAGCCCCGCCCCCCACGCCACCCGCCCCCCGCTTGGTGCCCTGCACGATGCCAATGCTGCTGGGCGTGCTGAAGGGTCGCGCCGGTTTTGCCGGGGGTTTCAGCTCAATATTCGAGGTGGCAGAGGGGGCAGAAGGGGCGGTGGGCGGTGCGGGGGCTGACAACAGTGTGGCGGTGGGTGTGGCTTCTGCTGCTGCTGTTGTTGTTGTTGGTGTTGTAGTAGGTGGTGCTGTTTCTGTGTTGCTGTTGTTGCCGACGCCGGCGCCAATTGTCAAACTATTTAAATTGACGCCGTTTTTCAGCTGATCAAACAATGACAAAGCCGCGTTGGAGGTTAAAGTTTTCTTTCCCGTTGTTGCTGTTGTTTTGCCGATGGGCGGGGGCGGGGACAGGGGGGAGACCGCTTCAGCTGGCAATTCCTTAGTCTTTAATGCCGTATCCTTTGGCTGAGTGGCTGACATTTTCCCTCGCTTTGTTTGCTGTATGCCTTGAAACTATTTTCCTTGTCTTACTATTGCAACGATGCGCTTAATTGCTCTCAACTGCTGCCATTATTCCAAAGCCCCTTTGCCACACAAATGCTACCTTCTTAGGTTTTATTGTTAGTCGACGGGAAGCCAATCTTAATTGCTCTAATCGGAAAGTTCTTAGTCAGCAATTCGAAACCGCACTGCCTTTAAATGGTATTTCCATTTCGATTTTCCCCATTGGCTTGCATAAATTGGTATTTAAATTTCGCCATGAACTTGCACTTTTCCGGCTTTTGTGGGTCGGGCTCTCGAGTTACGAGTGGGGAAAATGATTATACAAATTAAACAGAAATTCATTTAAATCAATTGCATTTTTGGGCTTTTCGCATTTAGCTGCACTTCACTTCTGCACTTATGACACACATTTTTTCGATTCGATTGATATTTCAGACGAGAAATCACTTGATCAGCATTTAATTACTCAACGTTGCGGGATTGATTTTGGTTTTGGTTTTGCGAGGAATTGTTGAATTACGGGCTGCGTTATCAAGTGTTTTACTGTGCTTTATGGCTTTGTGAATGGCTGATTGCTATTTCGCTTTTCGTTTGTTTCCGGTGCACACCCGAAACTCATTCTGCAAGACGGACGAAGACGATAAATTCGAGAATTCAAGAAAGCATTGGTACCGAAATTGAAACAGATGCCGAAACGGGTAAGTCAGGTTAACCGGTCCAGCTTTTGTTTAGTGCCAACAATGACAAGTCAGCAAACAAATCGCAATCTAATCAAATGCATTCCACTGTGCCACTCACTCGGCAAACTAGTAATTTGCTTATCACGGGGCCAACTTGTCTGGCAAGCACGATATTAATAATTAATGCAGCGGCTCGTTCGCTACTGCTGTTAATTGCCGCCAATTGCCGTGTAACCAAATTAAACAAAGTCAAAGAAGCGATGCACTGCAAACTGCGAATTCCGGAAACCCATCGATTGGCAAGCGAAAAACTGCGATCTCCACACGAAAAAGCTGCGGGCTGCTCTCGCTCTGCCTGCCGACTGACTGGCGAGTGGGGCCGAGTGGAGTGGGAGTGGGCCGAGCGCCACGGCCCCACCCGAAGCGGGAGCCGACCGCAGCCGAAGCGACGGACCCGAGTGGCTTAGCCAACTAGAACCGGGCACAAATCAAGATACGAAGCACGCGAGGCAAGAACGAAGGCAACGAACTGCCGTTCGTTTACTTGGCGCCCAACGAGGGGCACTCTCGAGCGGGGGGGTGCGAGTGTTCACTTTTGATTTCTGTGCAGCGGCAGCAGGTTTTCAAGAGAGCGGGAAAGAGCTGGACAGAGCGGTTGGGGGAAATTGGGAGAGCTTGTTGCGCCACAATGTGTGTCTGTGTGTGTGTGTGTTAGTGTGCGTTTGAACTTCTGGGGAAGTTCAGCAATTCAGTATTTCGGTATTTTAGCATTTGGTGGTTTGCCAGTTGGGCCGAAACTTCCGATGTGTCCGCGGGTGTTTGAGTAGGTGGCAAGTTCACTCACACACACGCAGATCGAGGTGCAGCTACCTGTTGATATGTGTGGGAACTAATCAGAATACGAAAGGTTCCTGCGGTTCAGCAAAACTTGAAACCGGTTCACCCAACCGAGCATAATGGTTTTATGGGAGCTTGAATTTGAAGCCGAATACAGATGTGTGGACAATATGCACCCATATTCAATGGTTAATTGTCTTATGGCCCACTCATATCATAAAACCAAAAAGTCAAGAATAAAAATACAAGAGGCTTGTATAAAATAAAATAAAAAAAAGTAAACAAAGACAAGGCAAAACCAAACAATAACAAAACAAAAACAAGGGGAGCTCGCTCACAAACACAATCAACAATCGCAACTGTTATCAAAACCAAATGGAGGAAACAAATAGAGAGAGAGCGATCAACTCACTCACACAACGAGCAAAATCTCGTCATGAAAGCAAAAACAAAACGACCAGAAACTGGGTCTGTGAGAGGAAGAAAGACAGCACAGAGGGGTAAGGTGGGAGTGAGAAATCAAACACAACACGTGCTTTTATTACGTTACAAGCAAGTGTGCGTACGTGTGTGTGATGCAACTGTGGGAGAATGCAAAAACGGGTGGGACAAAGACGACGCATGTTTACGAGGGCCTTTTGCGGGTGTGTGCGAACGCGACATAACTCGTTTGGTGGCTAGCGTTTTTGCTTTTATTCTGCCAAGAATATTTTGGTTCTTATTGGATTTTTTACACTGCACTAAACATGTGGATGTCGGGCCAAGAACAATCAGTAAAAACACAAGATACTATGCAAATTTGAGTTACTTCCGGGGATTAATACACTGAAGAGCTTACGAATCAACCAATGTTAAAATAACAAAGTTTTATCTTGAACTCCATATGTTTGTACCTTATTCTTATTCTTATTTGTATATTCGACATACAAAAAATATACAATTCAATTAAAAATACACGATACGCGAATGCACTGCGTGAGAGCGAGAAGCGAACTAAGTTTGAATTTTGCATTTGGAAATGCATTTTCCGCAAGTTAGGTGCAGCAAAGAGAGAGAGAGAGGGAGAGTGACACCGAGATAATATGAAAGGGAGAAAAAATTGCAGAGTAATAGAAAGAGAAGAAAATGCCATTGATTATTTATTATTTCTATAGTTAGTCAATTTATTTTAGCTCTCTGCAACAACGAGTATTTGAATTTTGTCCCCCAGCATAAATACATTAATTAATTCATGAATTTATTAAATTAATTCAAACAAACGAAAAACTAAAATCCCAATATTAACGCAACATGTTTCCCAGCAACAATTGTCGATCAGGCACATCTGATCTTTAGTCATAGCAGTCTGCTTTAGTCAGTGACCAGGCTGAAACAAATAGTGCTGCTGATACGTCTTCTTTTTATCTAAATGTTGAGCTTTACCAGAGATTCACGAAGCGGATCTAAATTTGAAAAAGCAGACCGTAAAATCAAGAAAATTTGTTTAGACAAATTCCGAACCGAAAAAATATCACAAAAAAAGATTATTACATTTACTGTATTTGAGAAACTAGCTTAACAGTGGGTGGAAGGCCATAAACCCCAGACACTTACCATGCCTAAATTCTTTTCCAAGACAACTACCACAGTGAATCATTAATAGTTGTCTGTTACTTGAAAAACAGCTAAATAATTATGTTAAATTTAAACAATCTTAAACATCAGACTCAGGATATAACTATGAATACTTTAAATATATTATAAGCGGAATTTTAATTCCCAAGTCGAAAGAACACTTTCAATTCCCCAACGTACGAATAGTGATTAATAAACTAATCGTTTTTCAATCATCTGTCACATACTTTAGGGCTCCATTTATGGACACAATGCAATAAATTATAAAGACACGAACCTTTTATGGCGAAGAGCATTTTTGGCCACGGCGATATAAATGAAAACTTACTATAATATAGCAACTCCCTCTGTTGCTGAAATTTATCAATAATAACGGGAAAACTGAGAAATTGGGGAAAAACCGGGAAAGTTCAGTTTGACGGTCTGACAGCACTGTGTTTTGCACAAGGGTAATACGCGGGACGGGAGAACTATTCGATCACCTTACACGGAAAACTGATCGCAGCAACACCCCACCACCGTCTTCACTCGACAGCACTTTTCTATCGCGGAAAATGCGGCGGAACGGAGAATTTCGGGAAACACAGATTTGAAGTCAGGGCAGTGTAACTACCTTTATCTGACATTTTTTAATTCATAATTCGAGTGAGGAAACTAAAATAAATTTTATATTTTTTAAATTAATAATTAATGTTTTAAAGCATTTACGAGGCTTTATTCTGTAGGGGAACGTTCAATTTATTCTTCTAAAATTCAAAACAAAAATAAATATACCCATATTTTAAATGAATTACTGGTAATAAACTCCTCCCAATGTGAACACCCATATTTAATTAAAACAATTTCAATAACTGCTACATTTTTTGTTTGTGTGTATGTATAGCCAAGCCATTTTTATATATTTTTCTTAAACTTTTGATTACACGTTATAGATACAGCTAAAATGATTGCATTCGAAATGGTTTCGTTTCGTTTACAGGGGGTATGCGCATATATATTTAGCTAAGAATCTCTTTAAATAGTAATAAGTTTTTTTAATGGGGTCACATACATAAATATTTACATGCATATGTGCACATACAATTGTAATAATTATTGATCATTATTTATCGCTTTCACGTTCCCAGTTCAGATCCATTTCTAAGGCTCGTCCCAAGCATCCGTCTCCAGCGTCGGAACTCAATCTTGTATCTAATTAAAAAGAGATTATGTCGCATTCATCAATTGCAATTGCAAATCAGACGATAATTACAGCATATACGGATTTATCAGAATATCAACGGCAATTACAGACGAATACAATCAACTCAACGATTAAAACTCAAACAAAGGCAAGCAGAAGCATTTGCGGTGGATAGCGACAATTAACACATGCACCAGCTAATTAACACATCTGCGACATTTTCGAACTGCGTAACAACTAAACACTAAAGTAAGCTTTAATATCTAACCAGCACCCAGCAACCCGTGCTATCATCCCGCCGGAAGTAGCGCGGCCGATTGTCCCTGAAGACGGTGACGGCGGGAAACTGGTTCTCCTGGATAAACCTTATGGTGGCACGCGTCTGAAAAGGAAAATAGTAATAAGATTACACAGTGAATAATAAGCTTTGGAAAAAATAAATAATAAAAACTGTAAGACCTTGTTTTTTTAGTTCCATTAAGCTGCACACTAAAATCTATCTTGGTAAAATCAAATAATTATACAGTGGAAAAGCTCCAACCAATAATTGTTAATAAATAAATTTACCAAAAAGTTACTTTAATAATTTCGTAATATCTACAAGTTAAAGGTAAATTTAAACAAAATTAGCAGTTTAAATTCTCTAACCGACAGAAAATAGTTATTAGGACTAACTTTTTACCATTGATTACAGTAAGTCAATATTTTTACCACAAAAACTGTAACTTGAAGTAGGTAAATACTGTAGTAATAAGTACTATATAAGCAATCACTCCTAGTCAACATGGTCAAAGTATTTTTAAGTTAGTTATATTATATTTTGTGTGTAACCCTGGATATAGATTATGTGTGCTTTCCCTGGTTATAAAGTTTCGATAAGTATGTTCGATTCTTGAGAAATGCACAAACGAAGGAGAACGAGAACTTTCTAAAAAGCGTGGCCGGTGTGATCGGAAGGCATATATAAAATAAAGAGCAAGAATACTAACAAAAATCAACCTTTTAGTGTCTTAATTAGAACCAATTGGTTTACAAGTAGTTACGTAAGCAAAACAGCAACAAAATAAATGAACAAAATGGAGTTAGCAACATAAGAATACTTAATGGTAACCATTTTTCAGGCTTATTTAACCGTCAATACGTTACAAAATGCAACTACAAAATACTTGGTGACATCATTTTACAATAATTCTGCAGTGCAAGTTTGTTGATTCAGCGAAGCTTATCTATTATAAAAAAATATTAGGTGTTGAAGTGTTTTCTTTTGCCAATGCAAACTAAGAAAGCTTTTTCTCTGTGTTTACATCTTAACCAACTATCAGCGGGGGATTCACACGCAAATGCAAACACACCTGGGGAGCAAAGTGAGGCGGCTCCACGTCGGGACTGGAGGACAGGTGCTGCAGCAGAAACTCATCCGTCTGGGAAAGCCACAGATCGGCACCGCGCAGCGGATCGTAGTTGAAGGGTCCAATGCGAAGCATACCCAGCGAGGAGTCGTACACATCCAGGACCTACCAAATGAACGGAGTCGATTAGTAAGGTGACATGTCAGGGATCAGTTCCCACTTACCGACTGTGCTCCCATAAAAATACGAGCATCGCGCAACTCCCGATCGGGTCCTCGGTCCGGAAAAGAGGCCGGAAAGATCTCACCAGTCTTGATGTTGACTCCCACGCCGTAGATTATCGGGCAGCTGATCTCGCCCCGCATCATGGTGTTCAGCTCGCCCACGCACG